AATATAAAGATTAACTTTAATGAAAATTTATATAATGTATAACACAATCACTATTTGATAACTTAATTGATAAACAATTAATACAACATTAAAAACAGGTTTAAGAGTTTGATATTTCTGGGAAAGTGAGTGTTTAGTCGGCATATCTGACACGTGTAGATAATTACGTAACTTTTGTTTTATTTTTTTTATACATTTTATACAAAAAATAATTGCAAAAAGAGATCATTTAATTTGATTCGTTAGATATTATATTTCTTACGATAAAACACAGGAATAAAAATAAAATGAAATCAAACGTTAAAAAACAACATGTTTTGTAGACCGGAATGAATGTAAAATAGTTTTTTATGGCATCGATTATACAGAATATTCACTAAAGAATATGTAAAACAGACTTAATATTCAAATGCAAAATAAATAAATGCAACAAAAGAAATGATTAGTAAAGTATTAGCCAAAGAATTAAGAAAATATGAAATAATTTGCATAAAAATAAATAAATTTCGGAGAAATAATTGTTTTGCTTCATATAAATAATATAATAACTTAACGTATTGTCAAACATAGAAATTCTGTATTCGTTACGATTTTTCGGAGATTAATATCCAACGAAAATGCATGAAATGATTGAATAAATGATTGATTTTCTTTGTGTTTGACCATTATCTCAGTCATCGTCCGACCCCTCGTCCGCCTCCCAGCGTCTCAAAGTTGGCTGTCTTTGCAATATTATGCTTCAAAGTCAGAGCCATTCATCGCCGGTGATGACAGAGGACTCGATGCACACCAACAATGATATGGTGTTTGATATGATATCGTCGGACGTTGTGCTCAACTTTTCGGTCACACGAATGTCTCCTTTCGAGGACTTTAATGACTACGGTTTCGACGCCTCCTTTGAGTTTTTGCCGGCATTTGACTGCAATTCCGGTGCTTTGGTTGAGAGGAGGAACGGAACCGAAGGCGAAATTCTGTATTCTGTGCCTCAAACTTATAATTTCATACGTGACGGACCCTTAAAGTGCAGATGGATTATAGAGGCGTCGTTTGGCAAACATTTGTTCCTCAAATTTAAAGGCCATTTACCAACTTCTCAGTGAGTCTTCACACTCTTTCTCACAATACAATCATTTATTAAACAATTGTTTTACAAATTGTTTTCACTGCTATTGATTTTAACGTCAAAACACGAGTTTAAGTGTTATATTGTTTTTATATATATTTTCTGTTTGTTTGTTCAGTTGTCCTTTTAAATCATATAAAAACTATTTTTTAACGTTTTATTTATAATATATAAAAAACGAGAGAATTTTGTTTCACTTTCGAGGAAACAAATGCCAGCGTTTTTATAATGCCTTTCCTTCCAGACCTTATATATGTTGTATATATCTGTAACTGTTATATAACTATAGTTTATGTGCGTTTGTCTGCAACCAATTCCGTGAAATATATGATATTATTGAACACTATTTGTTTTCAATGATTTATTTTGACAATTATTTATGAATTTTATGTATTTTTGTTGTTTTCGTTTCGCACACAATAGAGGCGACGAGTGTTTGGATGCAAATCGATGGGTTGTCTATGCGGGCGATCCGAGACATTCAATCGCAACCGTTTGCATCAATAGAGCCAAACGTATATCGCATGAGAACTCAGAGGCGAGCAATCAATCGGAAGAATTTGATTTATTCTCCACGTCTTGGTATAACGAAACCGACACTTTCGCCACTTTCACCGCCAATAATATGTACAACAATTATATGGAGAGCCGTGTGTTCGTCGAGATTGTGGCCAAAGAGTTGGGAACATTCAGTATGCGATGGCTTGAAGTGACGAAACCCTTTCTCAGGACCCAAACGGGAAAGACTATGAGAAATATCAACTGCAAAGTCGAGTGTCCGGAGATCAACGCCTGTATCAGCGATGAACTGGTATGCGATGGCATATCTCACTGTCCGTCGAGTTATGACGAAGACTCTAAATTCTGTCATAAGTTTCCCACACTATATGTGGTGGCGGTCGGCCTTCTCGTCATCTTTAGTCTTCTGGTTATCCTAATTGTGATAACGATCTATAGGTTTCAGGATAAGCGTCGCCTACGGCTGAGTCAATCAAACCACAGCTCAAACAACAGTCGATACAATCAACACGACGTCGATTATGTCGATTACGGCGATTACCCGCGTCTCGGCTCTGAACTCAACTTCCGTTCACTACATGAATGCCATCAAAGCCATCAAATCCCGTACACCGATAATGGCATGAATGGTATGCCGTTGGAGATAACGAGATCATTTGTGCCCCACTATCACAACAACGTCTTCTAATAGTTATCGTAAATAAATATCGCATTCAATGCACAAGAAAAACAGTCTGAACACAAACCCCAGAGTTGTCAGTGAATTCACTACACAATCGCAGCCATTCCGCAGCACTTCATCTCTTGTGGTGTTTTTATCAAAATAATTGCTCAAATGATTGCCGTTGTCTTCGACTCAGACTCCGATTCAATGGATCAAAAAAGAGTGACAATAAAGAGTTGTAAATACAGAAGAAAAGAGAGTCAAAGAAAAACAAATGAAAGAATGAATGAATAGAGCGGTAACTAAAGCAAGAATATAGCAAATGAAGAGAGAAAAAGGCAAAGTTGTGTCCAATTGGCGTAAAAAAGATGGCAAACAAAATGAGTTATTTTTGCTTTAGCTGTCGAAAAGTGCCTTTTATTGATTGCATTACAAGTTTGTGAGAGTGAGAGAGGGTTTAAATACGGCGCTATAGTAATAGTGACAGTCGGGGGACAAACAGTAAGACAATAGTGTATCGAATAAATACTTTGCCCTAATATTTAGTATTAACTTTATATGTGGTTATAATACGCGGAGTCGCGCACTATCTTATCGGCAAAACTGTGTGGACCTGTATATTGAGAAATGAGCTTTTGTTGGGTGCTATCAGTGCTATCGATATTTCTTATTGAGATTAACATTAAGTAATGTTCAGTCGATTCGCATTTCTGTTGGAATTAATTTTCATATTATATATAATATTGAGTTCTCAAACACAAAGAAAATCAATCATTTATTCAATCATTTCATGCATTTTCGTTGGATATTAATCTCCGAAAAATCGTAACGAATACAGAATTTCTATGTTTGACAATACGTTAAGTTATTATATTATTTCTATGAAACAAAACAATTATTTCTCCGAAATTTATTTATTTTTATGCAAATTATTTCATATTTTCTTAATTCTTTGGCTAATACTTTACTAATCATTTCTTTCGTTGCATTTATTTATTTTGCATTTGAATATTAAGTCTGTTTTACATATTCTTTAGTGAATATTCTGTATAATCGATGCCATAAAAAAAACTATTTTACATTCATTCCGGTCTACAAAACATGTTGTTTTTTAACGTTTGATTTCATTTTATTTTTATTTTTGTGTTTTCTCGTAAGAAATATAATATCTAACGAATCAAATTAAATGATCTCTTTTTGCAATTATTTTTGTATAAAATGTATAAAAAATAAAACAAAAGTTACGTAATTATCTACACGTGTCAGATATGCCGACTAAACACTTACTTTCCCAGAAATATCAAACTCTTAAACCTGTTTTTAATGTTGTATTAATTGTTTATCAATTAAGTTATCAAATAGTGATTGTGTTATACATTATATAAATTTTCATTAAAGTTAATCTTTATATTATAAGATTGAAATAAATTGTTTTTATTTAATTCATACAAAGTGTTTGATTTATAATTCAGTGTTTTTAATGGATTTTGAATTTAATATATTTCTATTCTTATTAAACTTTTTTTATGGGATTTTCTGTTTGAATAATTCAAACAAACAAAACAATTGAACAAATCTTTTTCATACACTAAAAGGATGTCTCATTCAATTAAAAGATGATTTTTGTCTGTAATTTTGATAAAACAAAATAAAACAGAGAAATCAGAGATTTATTTGACAACACATTGACTTCATCTCCAGAGTAGAGGGCATTGGATAGCATTTATGTGAAATGATCTGAACTGCAATCAAATGAATTATAAGACAGAATATAAGTCAAAAATATCCAAATATTCAATTTATATAATACTAAAAACGGTTCAATTGAGGTAAAAGAAGAGAAACTTTTTTATATATGACTCTAAATGTATAGTATATATAAATTATTGTTCAAAAAAGTTTTTATACAATAAATATATTTGACAAACAAAAAAAAACATTACTCTCATATCACAAATCAGACAAGAATTTCCAAATACAAAATCAATTACAATCTCAAGACATGGGAAGGGATAGTGAAAGCGGAGAGAGAAAGAAAGAGAGAGAGAGAGAGAGAGAATTTTTCTTTGAATGTTTAGGTCATACTGTCAAAAGAAATTCCGCTTTTTTCTGCCTTTTGTATTGAAAAATATTTCCTACAATTAAAGTGAAACATAAATTAAGTGATAATAAATTCCTTGTGAGTCATATAGACGTTCACATATACTGTATAATAACGACAACAAAATTATTCTCTTATTATATATTAAGCAACAAAAAAATGTGGGGAAGAAATTTTGTTTGTCATATAAATAAATACTGTATGATATAAAAAGCACTTATTGTATGAAAAGTTATTACACATAAATATATATCTCTTTTGAACATTAAATGAAAGGACAGAATATGAGGCAAATCTTTGTACCAATTTTGTTGAATCAAATTTATGTGTTTTAAGAAATGTGGATTCATTAGATGAATATTGTTGAGTGTATGGCATCTCTATATACATACAGTATTTCAATGGTCTTCTTTACTGATCCCAATCATCCGACACAACACACACTCTTGTATAACACTCTTTGCTATTTTATTCATTGCTTTTTATAAATTATAATACATAAAGAATTTAAAGAATTTCTATGACTATGATATGATGTGTGCGGTTATTGTACTTATGCTTCGCTATTGAATATACAAAATAAATATATAATAAAATAACAAATTATAAAAATTGTTTAACTCTAAGCTTTATTGATGTTATGAATACAACTTAATGTATGAAAGAATAACACATTTTAGATATTTATTTTGTAAATTGATGTGAAATATATTAATAAAGAAAAGCATTCAATTATTTGGATATAAACGCAAACTTTGTGTCATTTATTATTATTAATTACATATTCTAACATATATTACAATACAAAAACATTATTTTCTATGGTATTTGCATTAAACTACAGTATAATGTCGGTAACAAATTATTTTTACTATAATGCTGTTATAGGTACTCTTTGTCCTCAACATAAGCTTATTGTAGACTTAAATTTTTAATTTAAAATTGCTGTAAAAAATCTATTTATTTAGAAAGGTTTGACTAAACTTTAAATTTATTTTTTGAAATCAAAGGTCTTTTTATTTAATTTAGAAAATGCTTATACCGTATAAAAGGGAGAAAAAACAAAATATCCTTTACATCAATAATTTAGCAAATATTGCGTTCAATGGATTGCTATACAAGAGGTAATGAGAAAATAAATATTTGATAAAAAATACATTCAAATTATATGGAAATATAATATACTGTAAGTCGAGTTTTAATTAAATAAAACGCTGACAAAAACAAATATAATGTTTGTATATCTTATGTAAAATTTTCAATTTATAAAATGTCAACACAAGACATAAATCATGAGAGCATGACTTAACTCTCAAAAAAGTAAGACAAATATATATTACGTTATTATTCGGTATATTCTGTACATATATTCTGTGTATACAATGGATTGTAGTCTCGATTCCATTACACGATTCGATTTGCTCTAAAACTATGAAATATTCCTCAAAATTTTCAATCAGTCAATAGAAATAAATTTAATTTCTTTTTATATCTCTTTTATACCATATCTTATCTGTAAAGCATCGAAGATATTGACTCGTATATTGTGTTTATCGTATAGTGAACTCCACTCTAACTCTAGACTATATTTATTATTTATTGCATTTTTAGTATTTATATCCAATAAATATTATTTGGGATAAAATGGGAAAATTGTGTACAAAATTTCTTAAATTCTCAATTCCGACAAAAGTATGCGAAAAGTGTTGAAAGAATTTGTAAACAATTAAAAACTTTAATTACTTTTATATGACTATTAGACGCAAATAGAAAATTCAAAAGAATTTTAATTGTTTTGTTTTTAAATAATTTTATTAACAAAACATTTATTTTTGGAGAGAAAATATCAATTAATTTTGATTTAAGCAAATGTTGAAATATTTTCAAAATTCATGACATGATCCGTACAATGCTTTCATTTATCTCGCTTTCGTCTCATCACAAAAACAAAGATTTTAGTCATAAAACTAACGGAACGTTAGCTTTTATTTCAATCTAACAGAAAGGGATGTATTTATAAATACATTTTTTCCATTTGTGTTTTCAATAGCCTTATAGATAATAAAAGAGAGATATTGTTTGGGAAGACTTTTGTCAAAACCATTTGATATAAATATGTGGACAATAGTTTTAAATATCAGTTATGTCTTGAAGGGAAGCGATTGATGTTTTGTATGCAATGCTTGTATTTATTGTACAAAAAAAGCTAAATATTGTCTCTGATC